GCACCAGAGAAGGTGTCCCGTTCGTCGAGGCGATGTCAGAAGATGACATCGGAGTGCTGGGCGATGTCAGCGCCATTGATCCCGCCACGCTGCGAAAACTCGTGAAGCACAGCGAAGGAGCTCCAACCATATTGGAAGTACCTATGCTGACGGTGCAGGTAATCTTCTTTTCTTTTCACTGAAAAGAGTAATGTCAGGAGATATCTACTAACAGTTTATCATATGACCAGGTGACGACATTCAAGTGCGGAGGGATCGTCCTCGGCATCGTCATGAATCACGTCCTCGTCGACGGCAAAGCCCTCACGGACTTCGTAGCTTGCTGGACCGACCTGGCTCGAGCCAAGCCACCATCAGTTCTTCCCTTTCTCGATCGATCGGTATTGTGCCCGAGGCGACCTCCGCGCATTGATTTCCCCCACCACGAGTATGCTCCGAGAGATCGGCGGTCCGAAGGCATAGTCAACCCCCAAACCAAGCCCCTTGTTTACAGATCATTCTGCTTCAAGCCACACACTCTCATTCTACTCAAGAAAGTGTCAACAATCACAGCCCACAATGGCTCTTCCATAGTCCCTACGACCTTCGAAGTCATATCGGCGCTCGCGTGGATTTCGCGAACCAAAGCTCTCAAAATCGGCCCTCACGAGACAACGAAGCTTCTCACTGCAGTCGACGGTCGGCTCAAGTTTGACCCCCCGTTGCCGAGTGGCTACTTCGGGAACGGCATTGCTTGGTCCTGCGCCGAGTGCAGCGCGGGTGAACTGACCCACAAGCCCTTCTCGTTCGCTGTCCGGAAAGTGCACGAGGCGCTCCAATCCGTCACCGACAATTACATAAGGTCGGCCATCGACCTCGTCGAGCTGAACAGGGTCCTGGTTGATTGCGGGGGCAACACTTGCTGCATCAGCAAGTGGAGTCGGCTCCCTTTCTACAACGTGGATTTCGGTTTCGGGAGGCCGTACCAGGTGGCGCCAGCGACGGTCCCCAACAATCTCATCTTGGTGGCTTCCCACAGCAGGGGGAGCGACGACTTGGTTGTGTCTTTGGGCCTTCCTCGTGATGCCATGGATGTTTTCACGAAGTTGATTCAGTCTGAGCTCACGTTGAAGAGCAAGCTCTAGTCTCATCCATGGATATGAATACATGTGTATGTTTTCGGATGGCATGTGGTGAAGTCTATAGTTTTTGTGCCTCTAGTTTTAAGTAGGACCAACACGGTGGCGTTGGGCTGCTTGTTCCTGTTGTGTTATTTGATAGGACCCGGCTACCATAACGGTGCCGTAAGAATAAAATTCTGATGGTGCAATACTAGCCACAATATTTAATGGAGGAAACTTGCACACTGCTTTGTCCGGTTTAAGCTTTTTTTTACTTTCCATTGTTACCTTTTTTTTTTCCTTGGCTTAATTTAAGATTAGAGGATTAAAAAAGGCGCAAGAAGTACCCATCTAAAAGGGAAACCCTCACCAATTCCAGTAAGCGAAATTTCTTGAATATAAAAAGAAAAAAATTAAAATGCCGAAATATAGCTAATTACAAGTAGAAAAATATTAAACTAACTAAAAGGAAATCATTAATGTCATTGAAAAGATCTATTAAAATTCAAAAATGAAAAGCACTTGAAATGTTGACTTTATAACTAATAACAAAATTCATTGTGCATTGAATGGCTCCTCATCCTTTTCAATCAAATGAAATTGCTCTAGAGGGATTTTCTGATGACCGAAAATCAAGACTATTGATATCAATTTTATATAAAAACAGGTGAATTAAAGACTAGATCAAAATATAAATAATAAATTAGTAGACGAAAAAATTACCCTATGTATTCGAGTCTCATAGATGAAGATATGCAAGGACTTGAAACATTACAAGATCAATCTCAGAATAATGATGAAGCAGCCGAAAAGTCCTTTTCTCTCCCTCTCCCATCATAGTCTTCTTCAACCTTTGTTTGGAGTAAATATCCACTATTTTAAAAGTTATAATTGAATCCTTCATATGTTACTTATCGTTTGAATATTATCATTTGTTTCTTTAAATAAAATAGGAAAACAGATCTCATCTTGTCTAAATATTATCATTTGTTTCTTTAAATAAAACTGAAAAAAAAAATTCTCATTATGTGCCTTTTTAAACTTGTGGAAATCCCACCAAGTCAGAGACAAAAAAATATGAAACGAGGCAAGCCGGTATCCCACGTTCCAACTTTAAAACTGGTGGCTAGCAATTGACCGTTCATTTTGTGAAATAACGGGACCGTTCTCTACTCATTTTCCTATTTGATATGTGCTTCCATATCAATAATATAGTGGTTTACCTTTTAAAACAGGGAATGCTATAGATACATATGTCAATTTAAGGTTAATACCATGAAAAATCCCAAACTAGTACGTACACTTGTAACAAACTTACCTAAAATTAATTTTTTTACCGTAAAATATCATGACGAATTTATCCCAAACTAATTTTTTGACCACTAAAAACTCTAAACTATACACCTGTGACAAATTTACCATCTGTTAAATTAGATTAATATCACGAAAAATCATAAACTGGTAAATCAGTGACAAAAAGAGGGGTAAAACTCTAAACTGGCACTCCCGTCAATTGCCATGTATAATCCAACTTAGCAATTTGATGATAAAATTTAATGAAAACTAACGGAGGATAAATTTGTCACATGTGTAATAGTTTGGGGTTTTTGGTAGTCAAAAAATTAGTTTAGAGTAAATTTGTTATACATGTACCACTTTGGAATTTTTTTTTGTATTAACCCGTCAATTTAGGAGGTACAAGTGAGAGTGTATCATAGAGGAAATTCCATATAGGGTAATTGAAGAGGGATTGGGCATATTAATAATTCCAGTTGACCTATAATTTATTAAATTAAACTCTTAAAATAAAGGTGATCTAAGAACATAATATGCTGGTGGTTCATATTTTTGGAGATCTCCTCCCCATGATAACGCTATTCTTTCGAGGAAGAATAACCTGAGTTACCGGACGGATTTGGGTTTGAAGAGTTTTAAAATTTTGATTACTGTCTCTTCTGTCAAATTTCCACTCTGTTGGCTAAATATGTTGATAAATTTTAGTGATCTCCTATGATCTGAAAATCTTTGTCCTTTGAGAGAGACGCACATAGGATGAGCCTTGGCCAGTAAGGGTACGTTTGGTAAACGTTATCAAAAATAATTTCTCCTCAGAAATTATTTTTTTTTATTCTCTTGCCTGAAATAATTTCTGAGCATTTGAAAGCATTTGATAACTATGCAAAATTTCTATTTTTGGAATAGAAAAAAAACAAAAATTTTTGGTAATTGCCCAAAATTTTTAGTAATATTTTGATTTCTTAAATATTTTTTTCCTTTTTTTTTCTTCTTCTCCTATCCATGGACGACGATCGACCACATGCCAGGGCTGGCCACAGGCTAAGGCCCACAAGGGCATCGTGGCCCTCGAGGCTTGGGCAAGGATCGCCCTCGCCAGATTCGGTGAGGGCGGCTCTTACCCAAGTAGCGAGTAATGAGGGTTGGAAGAGGCTGGCAAGGGCCGCCCTCGTCGGATTTGGCGAGGACAACCCTCGCCTAGGCCGCGAGGGTCTAGCCTGAGCCGACGAGGGATGGAAGAGGCCAGCGAGGGTCGCCACTTGCAGCCAAGGCGAAGGCCGCCCTCACCAGATGGGCAAAGGTTGCCCTAGCCCAGGCTACGAGGGTCCAACTCTCGCCCTCGCTGGTGAGGGCTAGAAGAGACCGGCGAGGGTCACCCTGGCCAAATGGGCAAAGATTGCCCTCACCGGATTCAGTGAGGGCCGAGACACCTTTGCTGGCCCTGGCCTGTGGCCGGTCTTCAGCCATGGCCAGAGACCACCCACAAGCCAAGGAAGGAGAAGAAGAAAAATAAATTATTTATATTTATATTTTTTTTTATTTTCAGAATCAAAAATCAACCTTTTTTTTATTCTTGATTCTCTTTCAAAACTATTCCTGGGAACAAATTTGTTCACAGAAATAAAAAATTTACCAAACAGATTTCTGTTCTTTTTTTGTTCCTAGGAACAAAAAAAATAGAATCAAACACTATTTAGTCGGTTACCAAACATCTTCTAATTCTCCTTTTAATTTTATTTTGTCCTTTGGGGGACCCTTGGCCCACGTCAGCCTACTGTTTTGTATTTAGGAATTTTGTTAATTATTTTAGAGATAAGTGAATTAAAAATCCTATAACTTGTTGTAAATGTTTAATTAAGTTTAAAACTTTTTAAAATAGCAATCAAATCTTAAAACTTATCAAAATGATACGATTAAGTTCCTCTCTAGCTCCATCAATTTGACTAACAAAAAATGCTTTATCGCTTTATTAAGACACGCGGTGCTGATGTGATCCCACCAACCACCACTGATCTCCGTTCCCCTCGCCATCGCCACCAGCGGAGTCGCCAGTGTTGCGGTCCAGGCCGAGCACTGCTGCATCCAGTTGCCACCTCCTCTGTTGTCTTTGTGACCCGGCCGCAAGCGACTCGGCCATGGACAAAAGGAGCAATTTTTGGGTCTATGTTCTGGGTTTGTTTTTTTTTTGTCACTGCCTCCTCTGTTATCTTCCCGTTCTCTCTTGGGTGTTTTTTTGGTCAATCTTCTGCGGTTTGTTTGATTCTAAAAAAAATTGACTAAAAGGAGTCTTTTTTTTCTTACGATTTTTTCTGGGTTGATGGTTGGGGTTGGAGGAAAAGTGAAAGGGAGAAGATCTTTTTTTTACCATTCTTTCTGGGTATAGTCTTCTAGAGATGAGAGGTGAAAGGGAGAGGCTTGGTGGGCTAGGTGAAAGGTGAAAGGGAGAGGCAAGAGAGAGGTGGGTCCTGTAATGACCCACAAAGAAGAAGGCTACACAGTAATTTTTTATGATTCCTTTTGGGATAGTCTTCTTCCCCGTCGGGTTGATTTCGGAGGCTTAGCTCTTCATTTTTAGCAAGCAAAAGAAAAAAACAGAGCCTGTGGATGAGCTGCGACGACGACGACGACGACGAGAATGAGAAAAGTAGAAGTTTTGAGGAAAGTCTCGCCACAATAAATAGCAAGATTGACTTATGAGAATGAGAAAGAAATTTTAAAATATTAACAAGTATATATATATATATATATATATATATATATATATATATATATATATATATTACAGTAGCATCTAAAGTAACAAGTAGTAAAATATACTCCACAAGAATGAAAAAAAATGATATGTTCATTCACATAAAATCGCCTCTATTATGCATGACATGTGATGTGGTATATATATAGAAAAATCAAATGATGTGTCTATAAAATAATACAAAGAGATGAAAATTGACTTTATCGCTTGCAATACATTTCACCATAAATAGTAGAATTATTTCGGGTTCCATCCCAATACAACATGTAATGAGATTACTTATAACTTCATGATTACTAAAGAAATTAACTGAAAATTTCGAGTCGAATTGAATACAAATAGCCTATGATAAATTCAATTCTTTGAAATATGAAGAGATACTTGATAAGTGTAAAGTAAAGTCATACATAAGGGCATATGAATCCATAAATTTCAATTATCAACCAAATGATATATATTGCTTTCAAGTGAATTTCCTTCCACTCGTTAAATATCAGGATTATTGTCACTTTCTAAAATTTATAAAAATACTATATATTTAAATAGCGAAAATAACCCACAATTTTCATACGGCATTTACTTTTGGTGCAATTTTTTTTTTCGTTGGATCACTTAAGTGCAAAATGAGAGAAAAAACAATCACTTGAGTTCTTTCGGTGACAAATTCCGGCAAAGAGTCATGCTTGAATTTTTTAATAAAATGTTAATTCATATTAACATTTTTATCTCTTCTGGTTAAATAGGTTGCTGGTGTAATCATTGATAGCCCAGTGATCTCCTGTAATTCAAAAATCTTTGTCCTTTTTGAGAGACACACAAAGAGCATGGGCTTTCGAAAGTGATTTTCTTTTACAAAATTTCTTGTCCCTTGAGGGAGCCCCGGCCCACATAGGCCCAATCTTTTGTACAGGAATTTATTAATTTGTTTTAATCATGAACGGGCCTATGTAAATATTTTTAGGCCCATCTCCCTTATCGATCATGTCGAATCCTGATACTAATTTCGCCCTTCCAAACCACGAACAGTTGTTTAGAGCATCCAAAGTTCATAGTACGAAATACTTCCATTATTCTGAAAAATGAGTAATTTTCGTATCTAATTTTTGCAATCTTGAAGTTGGATTTGAGCTCCGATGCTTTCATCGCATTCTTTTTTGATATGTTGCTCAGCAGAACTCGTGCACAATGTGCAATATGCATTTTCCAAGGCTCCGTTGCACACTCCGTGGCCGTAACACGATTCTTTGGAGCTTTCGGCTTTGCTGTAGTAATTAAAACCGTTGTTCGCTGTGTTAGCGCTCAAGTGGTTCAGAATGTGGCGTCGGGCTCTTGCAAATGAATCCCACTACTTGTACTTATCAGTGTTGCAGATTTTATTCTTCGAGGTTGTATGTGGAGAATCAATGACGACACAGCAACAAGATAAGAGCCCTAAAACCTAGAATTTGATACGGTGTACTAAGTGCAAACAGTGCATAAGTTTAGTAACATCCAAAGTAATAATAAGTAGTAAAATTAACTTTATGATAATCAGAAAATAATGTGTCTATCTAGGTAAGATCGACTTTGTTACGCATGACATGTGATATAGTACATATATAGAAAAAATCTAATAATGAGTTTAGAAGATAATATAGAGTGAAAAAAATTTGATAATACCATTCACTATTATCAATCAAGTGATATGCATTGCTTTCAAGTGATATTTCCTTCTGCCTATTTAGCTTTCATGATTATTGTCACTTTCTAAAAATTCTATAAATACATTATTTTTATGAAGCAGTGATCGGGCAAGACTTGAGAATTTTTTTAACAAAATAGATCGCCCAAATTTATGTAACCCTATGCCATTGCATCTTCATAGGTGATACGCCAATACAACCTAAAATTAGGTTCGCCAACTAGTACAAATTTCTCACTTCCACTTGTTTCACGTGCCCATGCTACAACTAACACGAACTTCTCCCTTCCACTTTTCTCTCTTCCACTCGTTTCACGTGCTCCCTCCTATAACTTGTGCAAACTTCTCACTTCCACTTCGTTCATTCATCCATTCACTCTGCCTCTCTCTTTCGCGCCACATTCTTAGAAAACTTCTCGATTCTCAATCATCGCCATTTTCAAGACGAAATTCGCCACCGCGATCCCGCTCTTGAGTGCCGCTGCAAACGCCATGTCGCGCTTCTCCATGTCGACCAAGTGGATGCCCGGTCTGCCCCGACCACCCTACCTTGATGGCTCGACACTCGGGTAATCAAATCTTAATACCTATAACAACCCCTTCTAAGAGTGTGTTTAATTACGTCCTATCTTCCAACTGTAATGGAAAGATTGTTGAAAAAGGTAATGGCAATGACATCCAGAAAATTGGCTGCGTCTTTATCAAAGTCAGGATGACCGGAAATGTGGTCACATCCCGTTCAAACTTCCATTAATTGTGAAGAAATGAAAGTTTAGCACCCGCAATAAAAATAATGTTTATTTTATGGAAAATTCACAATTTAGAAAACTACCTCAAAATGGTTGTTTGTATCAAAAGAATGAATTAGAAATAATTTCATCATTAACAAAAATGTTTAGGCATAAATTGTTCTTAATAATAAAAACTTTTGCTACTGACTAAATTTTCAAGGAGATACAAATAATTATTTTTATGAAAATATTTTCCAAATTATTTATTTTCCATGATATTCGGGAAATTTACCCCATTCCGGTGAAAGTAATTTTGACAATTTTTTCTCCTCCGAAGTAATATCTAAATAATTTAATCTTGAATATGAGGATACAGACTAAAAATTGTGCGTGCTTATTTTTTTCAAACTTTAGAGTACAAAGGTGTCGGATAAAATAACCTTAATTACGACTTTGGTATAATTTACTGATATTTTTCAATGTTTCGTCGATGTTGTCAATAGGATGGATTCTGAATTTCTCAAAAGGACACTTGAGTCATTTGAGCATCAGAGTAAAGATGGTACGGAGCATCTACATTGTGAATCTTGCACGGGACTGGATATTCATTATTTGCATGTCCGACTCAATCTGAATATACTCGTCTATTCGTCTATAAAATACATGGATCAATACCATTATAATTATCAAAGTAATATTCACATGACACATTTATTTCAAATTAATTTGGAACTAAAAAATTTCTAATCAATCCCTATGAACATGTTTACTTCAAATTAATTTTTATCTCACTAAAATCTCAAACTAGTACCCCTAACCCAAATCTACTTTCCGTTAGCAGTTTTGAATATATGATGTGGAGGGTAGATTTGGGTCATGGATACTAATTTCAAAATTTACGGTGAGACGAAAATTAGTTTAGGATAAATATGTCATGTTGTGTTAATTTGAGATTTCTAATATTAATTAACCCAATATACATAGTTGACAAACCATGTAATTTTTCATGCAACCAATACTCCGAGGTGATGGTGAATACATGTGTTCACGTGCGGGTAATCAATTAAGCTCGCACCACTTATAAATAAATATGGCTGGTCAATTTGCATGCAGACTTTTTCTCATAAAGGTACCTCGATTAGTGAGGCGAACAATAAGATTTTACTCTAATACGTACGACTAATTAGTTCCATACCTTGAGATATGTAGAAACTGACTTCGTAAAGTTTTTTTAATTTAACCAGCAAATTCTACGACAGTACGACGCATTGTAATGAGAAAATTCCCACAATTTTCCATTTTTGAGCCATGTCTCTAAATCTTTAGAAAGGATATAAATTTGATAAAGTATATATGTTACCCTTGCATCACCAAAGCCAGCAAATAATTAAATTTAACTTCTATTATGCGTGATTTTGTGCGAAGAAGCAACAAAAGAGAAGCCAACGAACATCGGAGCTACGCAAAAACTCGACGTCAAGATCACGAATGCGGTTAACGTTTCTCTAGCGAGAGAAACGTTTGGCGGGCTCTATGTTCTCTCCAACCTCGAGCAGACCTTGCCTGACACGGTTGAGATCATATTCGCCTCCAAAGGCGAAGGGAGGGTAAGGCGTTTCACTGCGACCGAGATGCTCAGAGAATCACTGGCCGAGGTAGTGGTTGGGTTCTATCCATTCGCAGGCAGACTTGTCATGGGGAGTAACGGGAAGATGGCGGTGAGATGCACGGGAGAAGGTGTCCCGTTCGTCGAAGCATGTTGGGAAAACTCAATTCCCGATCGTCGTGTTCGAAACATATTCGGAACGAATTCGATCAATGCGGAAAACGTGCCCAAGGATCATCAACTTGTATCACCGATCGTACAGGCATATCACACAACGAACATACCCGGTATTGTCACAGATTAAGTGTCACTTTGCGCTTGAGAGTTCTACGATCGTCTTTCGTACTCACGTGCGTTCCGAAGCAAAAACAGAGAATTCGTTGTGTCGAAGGAGTGTGTTTGCACATATTAAAAATCACTTCTGTTTTCCAAGGGGTGCCTTCTATTATAGATAAGCAAATAACTACCTCGTGGGCCCTTGTGGCTCACGGGCCGGGTTTGGCCCATCTTGGGCGGTCCACCCAATATGTCTTACATCTCCCACTCGCCCACGATGGGCTAAACACAACTCTCTTCCTTGCAAAGTTCATATTGGCAAATAATCCGTGCGACCAGCATACTACGAGAGCTCGTTGTTATACATCTGTTAGGAATATATAACAGCTCAAATTTGGGCATTATCCAGAGTAGAATTAGTATGCAGTTCCCTAGATCAATCAGTCACAATTTTCATCTCTCTTGATCTCTTTTAGTATCTCGTATATTGTATTCATAACTATGATTTACTCAAAATCATAATTGGTCGACCTGTGAATACAAATATAGAATGTGACATCATAAATTAAATTGATCTTCCTCTTTCCTTAAACCTCTCCATTTCAGTCCAACTCGCTTTTCTAGAAATGCCCCGTTAGACCGAATTATCATGATCATCGGCAACATCCTAAGATAGCAAACACTGAATAGAAATTTTGAGAATAAGTAAGAGTCGTGAGGGCACTTTAATTGAGAAGAACTATTTTCTTCAAGAGTCTCACACGACTTAAAAATTGAGATCACAAATTTTTGCCAACTCTTATCGGTCGTCCCATGCATACGTAATATGAAATACGTATTACGGTATTCTCTCCTTTTCCCATAGAGCGTATGTCTTTACTCTCAATACCGTACAGATGATAGTTTAGACATACTCAATGTCTAACTTGAGTTCACCAATCTACTCTATTCATAAGCATCTATCAGAACTCACATCTGGCATTAAAGACAGGTAAAGTGAAATATGTGGGTCATTTCACTTTCGGACATAATAATCCATATGTCCTCATCTTAACATTTTGTTAAGGCGACGTCCATGCTTCAAGCTCGAGCTCTCAATTATCACCTAGATAACAAGCTTAAAACTGTCTCATCTCTATTCATCACACAGTGAGTAGGGGCGATTACCCGTGTGAGTGGGCTAATCTCTCATCTGTCCGACATAACTTTTCAATATAATGTACTCAGCATCGACATTCACAAACGTCATACAAACTTATAGGCATTGATAATAACAAACTTCATTAATAGTGAACATTCTGGGAAAATTACAATATTCAGTACATCATATTCTACACGATCCTAGAGATCTCACATGACCATGGAAAACTTCTCTAGGAATCGGCTTCGTCATAGGATCTCGCTATCATCCTTTGTGTAGATATGTGTACTTCACGTTCACTTCCTTTCGTGCAACCATGTCCTTGACATAGTTATACTTGATATCTATATGTTTGGTCTTTCCATGGTACTTGGGATCCTTAGTGTACGCTATTGCTGCTTGGCTATCACAATAGACCAATACTGGGTTTGCAGCATTCTCAGTAACACCTAAGTGATCCAAAAATCTTCTAAGCCAAACAGCTTCTTGTGCCGCTGCTGATAGAGCCACGAACTCGGCTTCCATTGTAGATAAGGCTACACACTGTTGTTTCTTACTGCTCCAAGATATGGCGCCATTATTCAGTAAGAACACGTATCCAGAAGTAGATTTCCTTTCTTTTAAATCTCCTCCCCAGTCAGCATCAGTATAGCCTTCAAGGTGTAGATCACTTCCTTGATAAGTCAGCGCATAGTCGGCACTTCCCTTTAGATATCTCAGGATTCTTTTGACGGCGATCCAATGTGCTTGACCTGGATTGGATTGGTATCTACTTACCATTCCTACTGCATAACAAATATCAGGTCTTGTACACATCATAGCGTACATCAAGCTTCCGACAGCACTAGCATATGGAACTTGTTCCATTTGCTCCTTTTCTTGTGAAGTCTTAGGACACATTCTGTCGCTTAATGCTTCGCCTTTTGCAATAGGAGTATCTATTGGTTTACAGTCTTGCATACGAAATCGCTCAAGGATTTTATTCACATACGTCTCTTGTGAAAGGGATAGGGATTTCTTTGAGCGATCTCTTGAAATCTTAACTCCAAGAATGTATGCAGCTTCACCCATATCTTTCATCTCAAAATTGGAAGATAACCAATTCTTGACTGTATTAACCAACTCCATACTGCTTCCGGCAATTAGTATATCATCAACATATAATGACAAGATCACAAATTGATCTTTGGATCTTTTGATATATACACAATTGTCTTTACTAATCATTACAAAATCATATGCCATTATGGCATCATGAAAACGTATATACCATTGTCTCGAAGACTGCTTAAGGCCATATATCGACCTCAATAGTCGACACACTTTGTGCTCCTGGCCTTTTGTAATGAAACCAACAGGTTGTTCCATATAAATTTCTTCCTCTAATTCTCCATTGAGGAATGCAGTCTTTACATCCATTTGATGTAATTCCAGATCCATACTAGCTACTATTGCCAGAATAAGGCGAATAGAGGTAAATCTAACCACAGGAGAAAAAGTTTCTTCAAAGTCAACTCCTTCCTGTTGATTATATCCTTTCGCCACAAGGCGAGCCTTATACCTCTCTTTTGAGCCATCAGCCTTACGCTTTATTTTGAGAACCCACTTGTTCCCAATGGCTTTGCGTCCTTTTGGAAGGTCAACCAATTCCCAAACTTGGTTTGATCTTAATGACTCCATTTCCTCTTCCATTGCATGTATCCATTCTTCCTTATCAGGGCACTTTAGAGCATCGTTCACATTCTTCGGCTCATCTTCATCTTGTGGGGCGATCATGAAAGCTTCTCCTTCAATGTCAAAACGTCGACGGGGAATCCTATTACGACTTGACTGTCGTATGGAATGCTGTACTCCTGATGATTCACCCCGTTCCATTGCGCTCCCACTCGAATGAGATAATGGTGGTGTCGTCTCTTTAAGTGGTTGCAATTGAGACTGGGTTGCATTCAACTCTCCATTTGTCACAATGCTCCCACTAACTTCACTATCACGATCCACAGATTCGTATAGTGAGTAATCACCACCTACTTCGCCCTTTTTAGGAAATTCATTCTCTAAGAATGTGACATCCCGTGATTCAAATTCAGTTATACTTCCGCTTTCTTGCTCACCTATGAATACATATCCTTTTGAGTGCTCCGAGTATCTTATAAAAATACTCTTTTTGCCTCTTGGGCCTAATTTTCCATACTTGTGAGAAGATTCACGAGTATAGGCAGCACAACCCCAAGGTTTTAGAAAGCTTAAATCAGGCTTTCTGCCTGTCCATAACTCATATGGAGTAGAAGCAACTGATTTAGAAGGCACACGGTTAAGTATGTAGGCAGCAGTCAACAAAGCATCACCCCAAAAGGTGATTGGCAAGTTAGCTTGTGCCATCATTGATCTAACCATTTCCATTAAGGTTCTGTTTCTTCTTTCCGCAACACCATTTTGTTGAGGAGTATATGGAATAGTCAGTTGTCTTTCTATTCCCTTTTCATCACATAAATTTCTGAACTGATCAGACAGATATTCTCGACCTCGATCGGATCTTAATGCTTTTATTTTCTTGTCTAATTGATTTTCCACTAAGGTCATAAATCTTTTAAAGCAATTTAAAGCTTCAGACTTATGAGAAATCAAATCGACATGTCCGAATCGAGTATAATCATCAATGAATGTGATGAAATAAACAGACCCGTGCCTTGCTTTTACATTCATTGGACCACAGATGTCAGTATGGATTAATTGCAAAGGAAATTCAGCTCTTGTTCCTTTTCCAAATGGTTTCCGTGTTGTTTTTCCTTCTAGGCAATGCTCACATATGGGCAAATCAACCTTTTTAATATTGCCCAATAAGCCATCTTTAGCCAATCTATTCATTCTTTGTTGGCCAATATGACCAAGTCTAGCATGCCACACGTTCACATCATTCTCATAAGAATCAGATGATGTAAATAAGGAATAACTAACATTAACTTCACAATAGTCAACATCTAATACAATGAAACCATCTAAGAAATATCCGGAACCATAATAACTTGTATCTAAAGACAAGTCTACACCATTTTTATGGAAGTTTACATTAAAACCAAGTCTAACTAAAACCAACACTGAAACTAAGTTCCGACGAATCTCTGGAGCAAATAGCACATCATGTAGGAACAACGTGCGTCCACCGCGCATAAGTAGTTGACAGGTGCCAATGCCTCTGACCTCCACTCTTGAATTGTTCCCCACGTATATCCACTTCGTTCCTTGTGGAACTCGTCGGAACTCCACGAAAGCTCCTCTGTCCTTCGCTACATGGTCTGTGGCTCCCGAGTCTACAGTCCACAAAGGATTAGATTCGGTTAGAAACACTGAACTAGACACATAAGTAGCATTTTCATGAATGCTAAGGGTTTCTACCTTCTTTGGTTCGCCACAGTCGCGAGCAAAGTGACCCTTCTTGCCACAGTTGAAACATTTCACTCTTGAAATGTTCTTCTTGAAAGGACGCTTTCCTTTCTCCCGTTGGTTGAGCCTCGGCTTCTTGCCTGAAGGACTTGGCCCCTTGCCTTTCCACTTCTTTGACCCAGCAGGGTGCTTCCTCTTGGAGCCCGAAACTCCATGCGAGCTAAAACCAGCAAAGTAAATATCAGTTTCTGGCTTAGCCGCCATGAGGCGATCCTCTTCCAGCTCAAGATGCCGCATAGCATCCTCGAAGGTCTTGATGCCCTCATTGTGGGTCAAATGGATCTTCATGTGCTCCCAGCTTTGAGGCAAAGAGCGGATTACTGCCTGCACCTGCTGTTCATCAGTGAGTATGTGCCCGGCATCCTTTAGCTCACTAATCATATTCGACATCTGCCTCAAATGTTGTTTCATGGTCTTTCCATGAGACATCTTATATGAGTCGAAACGGATAGTGAGTTGTCTTAGTTTGGTCACAGAAGTTCGACCAAATCTTGATGCCAGTGCAGCCCACATGTCTTTGGCGCTCTGGAAACGTCCGAACTCTCGCATGATGTCATTGTCCATGCTGCTTAGCAACGTAATGCGAGCAAGAGAGTTCTTTCTTTTCCAAACAGCAAAGGCATCTTTGTCCCTCTTGTGTTGGGCAGTTGTCCCATCCTCAGGTTCTTCCATAATCTGGTTTAGAGCTTCGAGTGCCTCTTGCTCTTCCAGCACATATTGAATCTTGAGACTCCAAATCTCATAATTGTCACCATTCAATTTTTCTCCCTTATTCAGTTCAGCCACTATGTTCTTAGTTGCTGAAGCCATCGTATCTGAACATTTCAGACACATACGCACGAGTTATTAAAGCCTATCTAAATGCTTCATCAGCATCATGATTACATAAACTAATCATATTAATGAATAGTTTCACAAAAGGTCTTAGAGTCGAAAGTTCACTATGTTCCCAATCATCGTCTAAAAAACCCAATTTGAAATTACCATTAACATAATCATTTATGTAAAGAAATTGGTTCTTCAAAAGTTATACAAACTTTGAAGAACTTCCCACATATAACATAACATGTGATATGGCAATATAAAATGAGAAATCACAAAAAATTCATAGCCATATATATATATTTCATAACACATTCACAAATATTTAAGAACATGTAATAACAACTTGAAACATATACAGAATTGATTCCAAATCCCAAAAGAACAACATCAAGTGTACCAATCTAACACATAGACAGGAAAGGACTCATAAAATTCTTTAGAAAGTTTTATTTTCTTCGGAACATAAACAGAGGCTCCTGGAAAACCCCTAGATCCGGGCCATAATGTGCGCCTCGACCCATTCAATGCAAGGGTTGATGTTCTTTTTGCCCCAACCCTTATGTATTCTTGCACAAAATTCTCCACAAGCATCTTATAGCTTGGACCATTTAAGGTTTCTTTAACCTTATCAAGCATTCTTCCCAACTCATCAGGCATAGTGCATTTTAGGGCTCCGACCATTACATATCCCGGCATTACAAAACCGTTCCAAATGATATCATGTATCATTTTGTTGACCTTGATGATGTGTGTCATCATATCATCTTTAGCGTCCCATCGATAAAGAGCTAGCTTGACTCTTAGGTTTTCAAGCTTCTCCTTTTGAGCTGCCGTTCTGGGGATTATCGGAGTGCGTCTCAAATGTACCATTGTTCCTGCAACGAATGCAGAACGAAGGATTATTTATAATCCATGATACATTAAGATAAGGAATGCTTATTCATATACATATGATCTAGCACTTGTATTTCAAAAAACTATAGAGAAATACTAGAGAAAATGCTAAAGAATATACCCCTAAGTATGTGTACATAGGGTTTATCGTGCATTTTCACATTCATAAGTGCAGAAAAACTGTAATATGAATACACCATAACGTAGAACATTCCGTTACGAGCACGTCGATACCAAGAATGCCCAAATCGGAGTTCAAATGAGCTCGAACGGGCCGAAAGAAATAACTTGGTCATTCTGCCGGTTTGAACCGGTCCGGTCCGACCGGTTTGACCGTTCCGACCGTTGACCGGTCAACGGTCAACCGGTTCGGTCAACGGTCAACCGGGCCGGGTCAACGGGTCGGGTCAAACGGTCAATCGGGTCGGGGTCAACGGTCAACCGGGTCGGGTCAACGGTCAAACGGGTCCGGTCAACGGTCAAACGGGTCGGGTCAACGGTCAACCGGGTCGGGGGTCTCGGGTCCGCTTCCGATGACGTCACGCTGACGTCATCGTCGGCGGTTAGCGCGACAACCGACGCGCCGTTTCGCACGGCCGCCCGTGGTCCTCACGCGCCGTCGCGCGCACGGCCCTTGCCGGCGCGTGAGGGCGCGTGCGGTGTCCTCCGGCGATGTGCCGCCCATCATTTTGCTCGTCTCGACGAGCCCTTTCTGTTTATACAATAAAATTCAAGTTTTGACGAAAAAAAAAAAAATCGAAACATGTATGAACAGTTCGGTGACGCGACGAAAACGAACCAAAAACAAGGCCGAAACGAAAAAACAAGCAGTATACACTTCAGACGATACATATGCATGTTCGGGAAACAAGTAAACGTGCTCTGATACCAATGTTGGGAAAACTCAATTCCCGATCGTCGTGTTCGAAACATATTCGGAACGAATTCGATCAATGCGGAAAACGTGCCCAAGGATCATCAACTTGTATCACCGATCGTACAGGCATATCACACAACGAACATACCCGGTATTGTCACAGATTAAGTGCCACTTTGCGCTTGAGAGTTCTACGATCGTCTTTCGTACTCACGTGCGTTCCGAAGCAAAAACAGAGAATTCGTTGTGTCGAAGGAGTGTGTTTGCACATATTAAAAATCACTTCTGTTTTCCAAGGGGTGCCTTCTATTATAGATAAGCAAATAACTACCTCGTGGGCCCTTGTGGCTCACGGGCCGGGTTTGGCCCATCTTGGGCGGTCCACCCAATATGTCTTACAAAGCGATGTCGGAGGACGACATCCAAATGCTGGGCGACATCAGCGCCATCGATCCGCCAATGCTGCGAAAACTCTTAAAGCACAACGATGGAGCCCAAACCATATTGGAAAAACCTTTGCTAACCGTGCGGGTAATGTTTTTTTCTTTTATTTTTCACTGGAAACAGTGACGTTAGGAGAAATTACTACTGATTGTAGCATATGGAATAAGGCTAAATATGGACATTCGAAGATGGTGGTTCTCGCCAAATCTGACAGTTTTGTTTAGTTTAATACACTACTGGTTCCCTGAGTAACTTCGTGTTATTAGAGGGCCCGTATGAATATGATCTAATTCTGTACATCCTCGCTTTCAGTTTATCTTACAATCCAGGTGACAACATTCAAGTGCGGGGGGATCATCCTCGGCATTCTCATGAATCAAGTCGTCGTCGATGGTAAAAACCTCACGGACTTCTTAACTTGCTGGACCGACCTTGCTCAAGCCAAGCCATTATCGATTCTTCCCTTTCTCGATCGATCGGTATTGTGCCCGAGGCGACCTCCGCATGTCGATCTCCCCCACCACGAGTATGTTCTGAGAGATCTTTGGTCCGAAAGCATAGTCGACCCCCAAAGCAAGCCCCTTGTCTACAGATCATTCTGCTTCGAATCCCTCACTCTCGTTCAACTGAAGAAAGTATCAACAATCACAATCCACAACGGCTCCTCCAAAGTCCTTACGAGCTTCGAAGTCATGTCGGTACTCATGTGGATTTTGAGAACCAAAGCTCTCGAAATTGATCCTCATGAGACAGCAAAGCTTCTCATTGCAGTTAACGGTCGGCCAATTTTGGCAGGAAATCGCTAACGTGGACGCCGACTAGTCACGTGGCATTGACGTGAATATTTTAAAATAATATTTTAATAATTTTTGAATTTTTTATGGTTTTTTCTTCTTTTTTTTCCTTTTCTCTGTAATTTTTTTTTTGGGTTTTGAAGTTAGGGCTGGCGATCCTCGCTAGCTCTCAGTGAGGGCATCGCGGCCCTCACTTGGCGAGGGCCGCAACGCCCTCGTCAACCAAAGCGAGGGCACGAGAGCCCTCGGCCAGATCCTATGAGGGCGCTAGGCGAGGGCTTGGTGGGCCTCGCCGGCCCTAGGCAAGGCGCTTCCTCGCTTTGGCTAGCAAGAGCCTCGCAGCCCTCGCCCAGAGTCGGTGAGGGTTGGCTGGCCACCCTTGCCGGCCCTAACTCCGAAACCCCAAAAAAAAACACAAAGAAAAGGAAAAAAAACTATAAAAAATTCAGAAATTATTAAAATATTATTTAAAAATGTCCACGTCAATGATTTCCGGTCAAAATTGGCCGAATGGACTCAATTGGCAGGAAGTGAAAAGGTTTAAGATTCAATTGGCAAAATCGAAAAGTTTAGGACTGAATTGGCAACAGTGCAATAGGTTTAGGACTTTTTAGACAATTTTCCTGATAAAATCCACTCCATCTTATAAATTCGTGAAGATTTATAGAATCATTATCTCTTCTCCACATGAATTTATCTGAATCAAACTCCTAAACATTGTTTTCCTATGCAGGCCTCCCAATTTTGAGCAGCCCACATTGCTGGTATGGGGAGAGTAAGATCAGATATTCCCTCTGGAGATGGGTCACAGAGTATAAAAGTGAAGCTTCAATTTATTTGAAACTATCTACTGCCCTTTTTCCTTTTTTCATTTTCCCTTAATACATGATATCACCACCGATGCATAAGATACTTCGTTCGTCTCCGACGCTAATGCTCGCATTGGGTCAGGCACATTGGGGACAATGCTAAACTGGTGGAGATCAAGAATGCAGGGCAAGCTGTGAACTTGGAGAAGCCCAAGGAATTCATCAAGCATTTGAAGCTCTTCCTTTTGTAATGTAGTTAATCAGATTCAATGTCTCCTAATCCGTCCACTAATGTCAGATGACAAAAGCTGATCCTTCTGGTTCTGGGCACTGGGTTCTTGATTACACCCAAATGGATCTATGATGTTGCTTACATGGAATGATACTTCTTACACATTGTCAAGAAAGAAGTCTCCCAAAACAGTGGGAACTGACAATGGAAATATATAACAAAGCTTGAGCATCATGGTGGAGAGCTCGAAGAAGCTTGAGAGGCTATGGCCGCGAATTTAATGAAGCTTGAGCAGCCACGGCCAAGCTCGAAGAAGGAGATGAACAATAAACATAATCTTAATCAGGTGATGTGAGCTCGGCGAAGAAGATGAAAAGTTTGCTTTTTTTATCCTTTTTCTTTTTCTAAATTTTTTTATCCATTTATCTTTTTTAATTTTTTTCATATATGGCGCTTGGTGGATGCCACATCGGCTCCTTGTGTATGAAGGAAGTAATAAAAAAAAGTCACATTAGCATTTTTCTTTAGCTAAATTGGACAGAGTTAACGGAGGGATTTGATTTCATTAATTTGATAAATTTTAAGATTTGATTACACTCTTAGAAAGTTCAATTTTACTTTCGAGACAAGTTTTAAGATTTTATGCATCACATACCAAAGAATATACAATAATGATGTACTTGGCGAATCAAATATCACGGTATAATTAAAGAACCATCATGCTTTTTGATAATATTTCTCTACGATTTTTGTGAAAGATTTATGAAGAGAAAATGGGCTTTAATTGTTGGTAAAAAAAATAAAGCAGCTGATTCTTGATGGAATGAGAAGCATATTTGCAGGCAAACCGGTAATGGTTTGTAAGACGACATGCGGATGAAGGGTAAACAGATCAAACATCCACTAGCCCCGTGTGAAGCAACGCAAACATGAAGTCACGAGCCAAATCCTGCATGGACTTTAAAATTGGTGGAAAATCACTTGTTTTTGGAAACTAATGAAGGGTTTCGGGTCCAGGCGTCAGGGTCACCAAGTTAGGTTGCTAGGGTCTTTATTGGAATATTTAAATAATAAATCACGCTTTCATCTAACGGTTTAAGTTTTTAGAATAGTTGGCAGTGATCCCATAAAATTTCTCATGGTATCAAAGCAGGAGATCCTGAGTTTAAATTTTCCAAGCCCCTATTTGCCTCCTCAATTAAATATTTCCACACTTAGTACTAACAAAAATACCAGACTAAGCTTGAGGTGGAGTGTTGAAATATTTAAATAATAAACTACACATTTATCTAACAGTTTAAGCTTTTAGAACAGTTAATAGTGATTCCATAAAATCTTTCAATCTTGTTTCTAACCATCAGGTTCCGAGCTCGGCGCCAAGGTTTTGGGCCATAAGTTTAGTCGCGAAGCCATGGGCGTCAAATTAAATTCTGCAAAATGGACAAATCATTTTTTGGGATTTAAGTATCCAATTGTCTTGAGCAATATATATATATATAACCTTATCCTTCTAATTAGCACCAAATGATGAACAATTAATGGCTTAATTCCGTTAAAAAGTATCAATTTTAGGTCGGTCCCAAATTTTGATCAAAACTTTTGTTTTGTCTCATAAAAAGGCACCAATTTTAGTTCATGCCTCAATTCTAGCGCAATTTTCTTTTTATCTCATAAAAAAACATAAAATTTAGATTGAATCCCAAATCTGACCCAAACTTTTCGTTGTCTAATATAAAAGCACATAATTTTGAATACCCAAATCTAGTCCTCATCCAATTTCCGCCGAGGACACGTGAAATGATACGTTGAATCTTATCATTGGGCCATAGTTTAGTCGCGAAGCTGTGGGCGTCAAATTAAATTATGTAAAATGGGCAAATCATTTTTTGGGATTTAAATACCCAATTGTCTTGAGCAAAACATTTATTTTGTTGTAAACTTATTGTTCTAGGCAGCACCACGCGATGCACAATTAATGGCTTAATTCCATTAAAAAGTACCAATTTTAGGTCGGTCCCAAATTTTGATCCAAACTTTTTTTTGTCTCATAATAAGGCACCGATTTTAGCTTGTATCCCAATTTTGGCTCAATTTTTTTTATCTCATAAAAAACATAAACTTTAGATCGAGTGCCAATACTGACCTGAACTTTTTGTTGTCTACTATAAAAGCACAAAATTTCAATTGGAACCTAAATCTGGCCCTCGTTAAGTTTCCGTTAAGTACACGTGGAATGACACGTCGAATCTTTAACGGCATTATTGGACATAAACTTGGGGACAAATTTAGGTACCGACTGAAAGTTGGTGCTCTCCATAAGACAAGAAAAAGTTCGGGCCAAAATTGGGATATTTTAAAGGGTTAATACCACGAAAAACCTCAAACCGGTACACATGTGATAAATTTACCCCATACTAATTTTTTTACCACCCCAAACCCCAAACTGGTATACCTATTACAAATTTACCCTCTGTTAATTTCCGTTAAATTTTATTATTAAATTGCTAAGTTGGATGACACGTGGTAGTTGACAGGTGTACCGGTTTATCATTTTTGGTTTTTCATGGTATTAATCCAATTTAATGGAGGGTAAATTTGTCACAAGTGTACCGATTTGAGGATTTTGATGGTCAAAATTAGTTTGGGATAAATTTGTCATAGGTATACAGGTTTTGGGTTTTTTGTCGTCAAAAAGTTAGTTCGGGGTAAATTTGTCATAAGTACATCAGTTTGGGGTTTTTGTGGTATTAACCTTACTTTAAAATTGGTATTCTTTTTAAGGCAATTGGGCCGACAAAACCTTGGTTGGACATGTGTATTCTGGAATCAATGGACCCTAAGATTGCATGGTGCGTATAACCTGGCTTCAACAGTACCAAATGAAAACCACTAGCTCTTTACAATGGTTATACGCAGATTCATTGGCCCATTGGAGCACCAAGAATCTGAAAAACCAATTAAGGCTTTTCAAATACGAGGTGTGTTATTCACATGCTTCGAGGTTAAACAAGAGAATTTCGTTCCCCTTTCTATTAGTAATTAATGAATTCTTTTTGGGTACCTTTTCCCTTTATTTTGGCTTTTGCAATATAGAGCACTTTAAAAAGTAAGCAAAATTAGCACCGTGCAAGGCGGGAACTATATATTATACATTCAATTAGGAATTAAAAAAGAAGTTCCTTGTCGTGCCCGTAAGTAATATTAGCAAGAGAAATGATTGGATGACAGTGTTTAATCTACCGCGAGAATAACAGTCTGTTTTGGACCACAAAAAAATAAATAACAAATAATTATAAATTATTGTGGGGTCCACTCTTTTAAGAATTTGTGACTTAGTGGCCCAAAGATGGTTATGCTAGCAAAGCCCTATTAGCAACTATTTCATTTATAATTTTATTCGTGAATTTTTAATTTGATAAAACCAAGAGGATGGAAAAAGGATTTGGGTCTTCAAAGCCAATTTCACTTTTTAAAGCATCTTGTATTGAAATATATTAATGCATGGAACCCACATTGCTGGTTTGACCTAGGATTTGGCCATGAAGACCCATCAACCCTCCCACATATAAATACAGACATGCTCCAGTTGCTGTACTCAACATTCGAAGCTTCAACTGTTGAAATTGTTCAGGTACGTGCCTTTTACTCCTGCACATTAAATATGCTTTCAAGTTTTTTTTTTCTTTTTTCGGAATGAAAATTTAAGAGCTTTTACCATGAAAAAGTAGTAGTTCAGAGAAAAATCTCGTGGTTATAATAGTAGAATTTTTTTTGGTCTGATAAGAGTAGAATTGACTTTATGAGAATGAGAAAATATTTGGAGAAAATTTGTTGCATCTCTGTCGAGTCAGATGTGATTAGAAAGTCGATCAAACCCCGGTCAAAGTGCCATCAATGGTGAAGAAATGGAAGTTTAGTATCAATAATAAAAATCAGGGTTCAACGACCTAATTGCAAAACCTATGGATGCA